AGCTTGAAGGTGTGGGTCCCCGGGTTGATTGTAGAACTTGGTCCTTCCCCGTCCAGTTTTGTTCTTTTCTTCACAATAGGGATTTGGAAGCATCAAAGCTTTATTGCTGAACACTGCTGTTATGCTGTCGTAGGGAAATTTAATCGCGACGCGGCTATGATTGGCCAGTCACGTACCACGTGCACGCGTTCAGTCCCGACGCCCTCAAGAAACCTGAGGTCAAACCTAGTTAAGAAAAAAACAGACCAACGAGTTGCTGGTGCTTTCTTTGGGTGACGCTCACCTCGTTATTGTCACTTCAGGCGTTATAACTGCACCGTGTGTAAAGTTGCTTGATATCGATCTGGGAGGCCACAGTGGCCATCACACCACCGTGTAGCTCATGACTCACAATTCAACTTGATAACGGCGACATTCAGAGTTGATATCATTTGCTGAAAGAAGTTTGTGACGATGAATGTCAACAATACCCCGATGTTCTCGAAGATTAATTGGACTTGGGCCTACCTGCAGGTTGAACTCGAGGAAGAATTCCGAGATTCGCTTCTTGCTCACCATGATCCATTACTGGAAATCACTGTGGAACTTCTCATCCGGAAACGACCCCAATTGGTTGGCGATTGTTCCTACTTTGACACCAACCTTGCACTCTGTGGCAAGATCCCACACCAACACTAATTTTATTCCGTGCATTCAACCCGAACTCCGCGAGACGGTTGGCATTTTTCCGGTGTGACGGTTTATGTGCCCCATTATCACTATCCGTGCCATGTTAACAATGCTGTGTCCGCGTCGCACCCGAACAGGGGGGCAGGTGACAACCTACTCCAAGAGTCCTCAAGACTTCATAGAAGCAATCCAATTCGGTCGTCCTGATGTTCTCCAGCTGTAAAATTGAAAGAAGTACGGACTTTCGACTTCCCGTTTGAGGCTGTTTGGTCGCCACCATACCATGTTGGAACCACCGGTTCTCGTCCGACCACCGAAGTTAAGCAACTTTGGCCCGGCTAGTACTTGAATGCATAACGAGGTGGGAATACTGGGTATTGCGGTCGTCCCTTCTATTAGCTTGAGATAGCTCAGCAGCTAAGGCTCGTTTCGAACCCAACCTCGGCATCTGTACTGCTTCTCTCTAGGCTTTGGCCACATGAAAGTTTCGCAATCCTCGTGTTTCCTTCTGGGGGTGTGGCAGCTCAGCAGCTAAAGGGTGCGACAGTCGAATGGTTATTCTTGCTATTAGTATTATGGTATCGGATACTTCAAGTTATGGCAATGGCGCGGTGATCTCACATGTATTCCGCCTTAGTTCATTTGGGCGTCAGAAAACAAACGGAGTAATGGACCTCACTTGAGGTTGTTTAACAGACTTTGCCAAATGAACTACGCATAGGCTACCATCAATGGGTATCCAACAAGTCCGTCACGAAGAGACTGAACTTGGCCGTGGTGTGACGGTTCGCGCACCTCGGCGACCCATTCAGCTATACTGGGGGTGTCTCCGCGACACTCAGAGTTTCTCATATCAGGTTGGTCAATGGTTAGAGTTCTGACAAGCACAGTCTCCTGGTCCTCTAGGTTGGGGATTGGAACATTTTGCGACTTGTTCCGTGGAGATGGTAATGCATTTGCATTTCCCAACAAACACCGCTGCCTTGCGGTTAGGCTCTGGTTAGGCTTTGGTTGAGGATCCTAATCGTCCTCCTCTCTAGGTGTGGGCGCCCTATCAGTATCCCAGACCTCGTACAACCATGACATTTACAACTAACAGTAGTCTCATACCACATCGGCCGTCACTTGGTGCCATCAACCGGGTCGCCTTACTTCCTGCATACAACAGGGCGGGTAAGCGAAAACATGCTCCTGCTGACGCCTCCCTTCTTGTGCTTTGACGTTTTCCGTCTTCTACCCACCCTCACCCAAATTTTAATACTTTCTCCACAACCCAAGCACTGGGACTAAATGGCGAGATGGACCAAGTGGTTAGTGCGCTAATTCACTGACCAAAAGCTCCGTGGTTCGAAACCCGACCTCTGCCTCTCGTCTTCCTCTGTCTAGGCTTGGACAACCTGACAGTATCCCGGTCCTCGTGCTTCCTCCGCGTTTCATGGCAGCTAGGCACCAAAAGAGTACTATAGCTGAACCATTTTTTGAGGACTGACCGTTTTGCTTGCCCCGCATTACACTTAGCTGCAGTCTTTTAATGTTCGCACATTGAAGGTAGAGTAAGCGCCGCTGAGGCCCGATTAGGCGGTTGTCTTGGGTAGGACACGAGACGCACGGACGACGGGGATCGCTTACTTCAGATGTGTGCCGATCACAGACTGTCCCTTTGTAGTACGAGTTTCCGGAACAGCGGAAATCGCCCAACATGGTGCCCATCAACAAATCAGCCCCTAATCCAGGTAGATCATATCACCGTCAGTTATCGGTGGCGAGGGTTAATCACCACCTGCCGCTCCTGATGGAACTCCATCATCCGTACGGAACGGCACTTGTACACTGCTGCTTTTCGTTGCGCTTTTCAGGTTTATGCAAAACGCGCAATGTCGCCCAGCCATTGCGAAGCTAGTGGACCCATCAGTTAGAAATTATCAGAACCTGCCGAACGTTAGGATGTGGGATATAAACGGCCACTGGGAAAAGATATCCAGAGGCAGAAAGTGTAATTGTAGTACAACCCAGCCAACCTCATCCAAACATTGGGTCTCTGATAGGACCGTGTCTTTGCCGGAGATCCGGCGACAGATCCCTCCCGGCCGTAGTCACAATTCCACCTGGTGCATCATCCAAGTCAGGTGGGACTGAGTATCCTTGCAGACCGAGAAGCTTGGTGGACTCGAAAGACCGAAGAAATAGGAGGCGCAAAGAATGCTGGAAACGTCCTTAAGCTGTTCCACTTCATTCGTTCGACTTGTCCTCGGAAGCCTCTTGTCAGCGAAATACAACATGGCTTACTGATATGCAGCAATACATAACGTTTGAACCACTGGGCACGGTACTTCGAGCAGCAGTTCAGCTGGCCACCTGCTATCTCCAGTCCAGAATCCTGGTCTCCAACAGAATGGTCGCCCGTGAATATGGAGCCACCTTCAGCCTCAAAAGTGTCGGATTGTATTTCCCTACTCAAGTGTCATCGTGCTCTGGCCCTGGCGACCTTCCGCTTACTTTTTTCAAGGATGGTGGTGGACTCTTCATCCAGTGACTGTCCGGCCTGTTTGGGTCTAAATGGAAGAAAGGGGCTGTCCCAGACAGCTGGGGTGAATCGATAGTAGTGCCCACTTTTAAAAAGGGCACTCGCAGTGAATGTAGTAACCACAGAGGTGTTAGTTCGACGCATGTTGTGACAAGGCTTCTGGTGTCACTGATTCTTCACCGTCTTGTGGTGGTACGCGATGCCTTGACACGTGAGAACCCGGGATTTCGACCGGGTAGAGGCTGTGTTGACCACAACTTGACACTTCCTCAGGTGTTAGAGCAACGCCACATGTTCGGACAGCCCACAATCCTGGTATTCTTTGACTTCAAGGGTGCGTTTGATTCTGTTGATCGATCAGTGCTGTTAACTACACTTGCTCAACAGGGTATGCTCCAGAAGTTTGTAAACATAATCCGATCCCTATATTCACATACTTCTGGGCGGGTGAGAGTATATGATGAGCTCCCCAAAAGATTCCCTACAAAAAGTGGTATCAGACAAGGATGTCCACTTTCTCCAATCTTGTTCAACTTCGTCATTGATGAAATAATGAGGCGAACACTGGACAGTTTTCAAAGCCCCGGTTTTCAAATTGTTGCTGGTGTGAGTATTGTCGATTTGGAGTACGCAGATGACATCGTCCTCATCTTTGAAGACCAAAGTGAAGCACAGGCTCTGTTGAATAGACTGACTATCACCATACCGTCTTTTGGCATGCACCTTGTACCTTCAAAGTGCAAAGCTACGCTTCAGAACGTGCAGTCTGCGAACATGTCTATTAGGATGCAAGGAGAATCACTGGGAGTTGCGGAAAATTTCACATACCTCGGTAGTTGTATTAGCACTGACGGAACTGTCCGGTGAAGTCAATGCAAGGATGTAAATGGCTGGAATCACGTTTGCTAATTTGCGTCACTTGTGGCGTCAAAAAGACATCACTAGACCCTAAGGGTCACGTGTACCAGGCTACAGTAACCGCTGTGTTATTGTACGGGTGTAAGACGTGGCATCTGCTGACGGATGATGTTAGCCGTCTTCAGGTTTTTGACTACCGTCGCCACATGTTTCAATCCCGAATCTGGAAGATCAGGGGACTGTTTCGGATAGACTTCAAAGCACTGACTAACCTGGTATAAGAGGCTATGTGAATGTCGTACGGGCACCATTCTGTATAGCTCAATGGGTCACGGAGGCACGAAAATCATCATACGATGGTATGGTCGTTTCTTCCTGACAGAAGGGCAGTCTCTGGTGTTTTTGAAAGAAATGGGGATTTACTGTACCCTATTGCCCCTTTGTTTTCCGAAATTCCCCATTGCACGTAAAAACTTCGAATGCATCGAAGAATAAAGACCCTGAGTGTTTGATCGCTCGTTTGCATGTTTATCTCCTTTAACGACTTTTTAACAAGTGTCCGGTCTCAAAATTGTGGATCCTCTCCCTGTCTGAGTGCACCCAACGCAATTTTGCAGCGGCAGCTAGAGTAATTATCCCATTGGCTTTTGCCAGCCGTGGTGGAAAGGTCTCAGATTGCGCACGTGAGGCCATACGCATGCGTGCAGGTTAACCCTTAAGTAGAAGCAATCGACGATTTGGGTCACATCCGGCTCAAGAGTGCGTTCCCGTTCCTCCCTGATCCGACACTACTGCAATGACATCATTGGTGGTCGTTTGCACGTAGATACCTGAGTGCGGTTCTCATACATGTCATAATGAATCCAGATGGTCGTCGGGGGAATACGAGTAGAAATAACACTCAATAAAAACCGCGTTAATTTCCCATATGTTGACCTTCCTATTTTAGGCGAACACTGAAGTGGTTCGTGAATTGGCACTGACTTGCCAGAATTGTGCGAATAATCCACACAAGTATAGATGCCCCCGCTGTAATTACAAAACATGTTCCCTGACGTGTTGTCTCGAACATAAACAGAAATTTGGATGCTCTGGTGTGCGAGATGCAGTGGTACTATGCAGTCGACAAGAATACGGTGCTTTCGCGTTTCAGCAAGATTACAAACTTTTGGAGGAGATTGACAGGAACAATGAATTTCGGGAAAAGCATTTGGCCAAGGTAGGTTCACATCCAGCGTCCATACACGCCTAAATTATTTTCTACTTCTGCTCAGTGAGTCTAACACCATGGCCGCAAAAAGTACTCTTTTATTTCATTGGTAAATGAATTCACCGTCGGATGCACTATATGAACTATCCGTTGTGTCTGGTGGATTCATTGACTGAATTTTCCACCGATCTTATGCCTTTGGGATCGAGTGTACTGCAAAATATGGGGTTAGTTTTAAGTGAGTCGAATTGGCTCCGATTTGTACCGTCTAGTGACAAGCTGTTTGTCAGATAAGGGAGAGTCACTCACGAGTCATCTTAAGCGGTCACTTTTCGAGCATTTCGGGAGGACGACTGGTGTTACGACTAACCCATAATCATTCAGCTGTAAACACTTGCATTGGGTCCAGTGTTTGGCTGATACCTGAACTCAAGTGGCTTTTCCAAGTGATTTAACACTTCAACCTGATTGTTAAAGTTGAACGAACATATGTCGTGCACGTGGCGTTTGAGCGCTTATTAACTCGACTAAATTTAGCATTATGAAACGTCTTTCGCACGCCTTTGCAATATTTCGAAGGCCTTCAAGTGCGAATCCTGCCATTTACCATCCCCTAGACATGGTTGTTTTGTGTGCTTGTATCGAATTGGTCAAACGGAGATCCGTATACGCCAGTGGAACTGATGACCTGGCACTACCCAGTTAACCAGCGTGACCGCTTGACTATCTGCCGATTATCGTAAGTTTTAATTCAACCTATTACTGTGCTCTGTACAGTAATAGGATGGCGTGAGTCAGCTTCCATACCGACAAATCCAATGACTTGGACACACTCGTCATTTTGTTTGTTTTTATTATAAGCAATATGAGAAGCTGGGAATGAGGTGGACCAAGTGATTAAGGCGCGAATTTACTGACCGCAAAGCCCGTTGCTCGAACTTGGCCTCTGTCTTTCGGCTCCCCCTGTCTAAACTTGGGCAATCTAGTAATATCCCAGCCCTCGTGCAACTTTCGGGTGGCATTGCAGCTACCGTAATGGTGCTACAGCTGAACGATTTTTTTATTATGAGAAGCTTAGTCCCAATTCGTCGCCATCCGACTACCCGTTTCGGACTGTCTGGTAGTCTTCAGTTGGGTACATTTTTCGAGTTTCAATCTGTCAGTAATATTGTTTGACCTCCACACCGTATATAGTTCGAGAAAGTTATCTCTTCAACACGACTCTCAATCTTAGTGGGTTTTTTCCGAATCACGGTTAAACTAATGGAAGCACCGGATGAACTACCTCGAAATCGGATGTTGGTCAGTTCACGCGAACATCTCGAGCAGCAACAACAAAGAAAATTTAGAAACAAACCGACAGTTGTTATTTGTTGCCCATTTTCATATGCGTTGTCATTGGTACCCGGAACCCGGGTCTTTAAATTATTCCTGAAGTTTCAGTACATGCGGCAGTGGATTATGGCGAGTTGTAAAGCTGATGATCAGAGGCCCTCCGCAAAGCAGCAAACCATAGGAGGATAAACCTCTTGGTTGACTGAAGAGTTGCGAGGTAACACGGCGTTTTAGGAGCTACCAGTTGTAAAAGTTACGAGACGCGGGAATTGTTGGGAAGTCCCCACAATTATTGTTCTAAAGTAGTAGTAGTAGAAGAAGAAGAGGAAGAAGAAAGAGGCCAACTGTTAAATTCTGAAATGAGGATCGAAATCCGACGGGGATAGCCGGAATTGAACAGGTGGACTGCTCGGTTCGAAAACCAAAATTGAGGGATGGTAGCAGTTAGCTCCGACGAGCATCCCCCTCCGTAGTGATGGTGAAGCAAATCAAGAGGAATCCTCCTCTGAAGACGAATGTTTTAGCTCGTTTTCGGTCAGAGAAGGTGTTCCAATGGGATGCACTAGGTCACTTCTAACGGAAAGCTAAATACGGTGCATATGTGGTAAACCAGGATAAAAATAGTAGGCTTACGAATCAGATACTGAGAGATCTTAAAATCACGGGATAAAGTATAGGGGAAATTCACTGTAGCTTGCTTGGTGGGTGTCAGGCCGATATCCCAGCTTAACGGCTTGGGCAGGAGAACCGCATACTGTTTGGTAGCCGTACTTCTTGGGGGTCGGCGTTAGTCATTTCTTGTGCAACCAACTGTAAGGGTTATGCCCTCTTCTGACCTGGTTTAAACCCCCAAGCTAAACGTAACTCTAACCTCAGGGTCGTTGCACAACATGGTACGTTTTAGGTAAGCCGGGTACGTCGAGGGTACTAGCACCTCACAACTCATTCGTCGAAATGGGCTTGTTTGTCTTATCCGTTCCCTCTTGACATGTAAATGGTCATTAACCTGACGCTCCAGACATGCAGTTTGGAAAAAAGTGTTTCATCTGCTTACTCTAATCCAGCTGTCCAGTGGTTATCTGAACCATCGAGCAGTAAATCCTTCCCTTATAGTTCGTCAGTTTCAATTTTAAGTGTACCCTCTGGCAAACACTATTTTAGTTTGAAGGAGATTCTTCGGGAGGCTGTTGTTCTACGTAGGTATTTACTGTTCAGCAAAGACAACTCGACCGGCGTCTTTATGACCTATTGTCAAAATCACAGCTGTGATGGAACCGGTTCTTTGGTGTATTAATTATTTCCGTTTGGTTGGTCGTTATCGCCCTCGGAAGTACCACCGTAAAGTCGATAGGAGCCTCATCCGACTCGCCACCCCAAGCCTGTGGACCCGATTATCGCTTTTCTCTAATCCCTATATAAACAAGCGCATTAAAGATCCGGTCGTTTGAGTGAACCACCAATTGCACTCTGAAATTTTAACGTTCACTCTTTCTACCTGCATTTTTCAAAGGGATCCGACGGTAAAGTCTGTCTTTGTCTGTTATTTCAGGATGATGTAGCAAGACGTGATTCGAGAAGTGAATTTGTAATGTTCCTTAGGGTACATGAAAGATTATGACTCGTTTACTTGCCTTTGTCAACCGAAAATTAGTCAACACGTGCACCGGTTGATCGGTTGGGTAGTTCGAATCATACATGGGGTTGCACCCTTTCCGTAAGTCCACCGGAAGTCGTGTCTTACTGCACACATCATTGTATTGTACGGCAAATGCTACTTGCCAAGGGTATGTTCGTATCGTTATTAAGGATAGTGGTAGAGTTGGGATTCTCACAGACTTAGCACTTTGAATAACCCCTTGTTGGTATCCTTCAATGTCCTACGCCATATATATCGGGTCTTTGCGCTCTAAACGGCTAAGTGAAACGCTGTGACTACCATCGTTCATTTGTCTCATTTTATCTCCGTGTACTTTGTCCGTTATAATCCCAAAAATCGACCTATCGCATGAATTTGTATGTCCGTTTTCTTGCTATGTATTTGTTGTTTAATACAGTCGCGAGTGTTTACAATGTTATTATCCCAGTTAAACTGTTGCTTAGTGGCCATCATAGAGAAAGCCCAGTGCCTATTTCAGTGTCGCGATTAATCCTCAGTTTCCCTTAGCTAGGAGTCTTCTCATTGCACGGTACGTTGTGCACTAAAGGTCACCGTCACAGAGGAGCATGCAGTTTAAGTCAATTATCTCCTCATCATTTGCAGGTTAGCCTCGAAAGCGCCGAAAGTCTAAGTAATGAAGGATCTTAAATAAACTTCATGCTTCCTTTTGGTGAATGATTCATAATTTACGGTCCGCTTCCTATTAGTCTCACATGATTGTTCTCTTTGCCAGTTATCCGTGAAGAACAAGTCGGAAATCCGGAGGAGAAAGGACCTTATGAAATTCGCATCCGAAAATGGTATTGCTCTTCGGTTAGCTTCTCCGCTCCTTTCGCGTTCATCCACTAATCGGAGCCGTGTGGTGACAGACGACAAGAAGCGAAAAATCTCATGGAGTGTCGAATTCAGCTTTTTACCCATCAATCGTTCTCAATATACTACATGCAATGATAACCTTGCTCGGCTAAAACCACTAAGGCTAGTCGTCCATGACTGCGATGAATCAGCGCGCCTTGTCACAATTTGGAATGAAAAGATATTACAGTTGGAGAGCAGTGAACAAGATGCTCTCGTAACTTACGCCCCTCCTGGAACCCCACCCTTCGGGTTGGTCACCTCGTGGCTTTACGCGAAAGTGAAAGGGCAGAACATGGCCAAGCACTTTTTCTACGTCCAAGTAGAACATTTCGAGGCAGGAAACTTGAACACTGATGGCAAACTGGGTGTCATACGGAAATTTGTTCCTGTGGAGGTTTTTCTCACCAACAAGCTTTCCCACATACTTATTACTCCTCGGCTCATTGTACACGAGATGCCAACGCTTTGGGTGTCTCGGAAACCCTTGGGTTAATTTATGTTTTGTACCATTTGCTCTGTAAATAACGTCACACCTGTTTGTCGATGCTTGACAGTTTGCAAAGTGCCTCAAGGAGTTTTCAGCCACCTTATGAGTAGTGCACTACGTCTACACAATTTATTGCGATACTTGCGATACAGCTGAAACGTGAAGCTGCCTGGTACAGCACATTTAGTTGAAGAACAATATAAACGGGATATTCATATGATTTCTCGTCAAAACCAAATGGGTATTCAGATGGCTGTACTAGATGTTATTGTCTTCTGTGACCACAGTATACAAGAAGTCGAATTTAGTGTACTACAGATTCGATGATTAAGTTCAGTTCACCTTGGCAACCGTAAACCATGTAATCGTGAACGGTGCCTTGGGTTGCAGTAACGGTGACTGTAGGAGGGAGGGTAACGGTGGGTACGGAAAACTGAAAACAGAACCGTAGATTGAGTGAATAGATACAACAGTGCTACCGGTTGCGCAACATCGTCATGTCGGTCCCTTACGTGTTGGGTCTGTGATGTCAGGTATGGATAAAGATAGGGAGCGTGGCACTAACTCTTATATATCAAACTCATCCAAAAAAGCCACAGAGCCTTCTGTGAAAGTAAACTTGGTCACCAGGTTCCTCCACTTTTCATTTATTGCGGCCATCACGGACGTGGAAATGGCCTACGACCACTTTCCAATGTGAATTCCTGGCCGCAGTATTCCTAAGGATTTGTCTATTCTATAGCTGGGGCCAAAAATCCCCTCGCCAACTAACAGGTCGAAATCGCTACCCGTTAGAGAATGAAAGCATGCTCCGACTTACCTCCGAACTCTCACTCTATTTCCTAGTGAGATATCAATACCTTTATCGGATCCATTCGGTGTCCGATTTCAGTGTTGGAGGATGTTCGAGTATTGCTACCTTTCGTGGTGTTTAGGGACAGTTTGACTGGAAGGAAAGTCATTATCCTCGCATACTTCACCTTGGTATCCTAACAAACGGATTTTTGGCACAAGATTTTTACTGTCCAATGCCCTGTTTTTTCTCGTTATTTTTTCATTTTAGGAGACAAATGTCGTTAAATATCTTCACCATTCACCGGAATAAAACCAAAGTGTGACACTTACCTCTCTACATGAAAAAGTCATAGTGGTACATTCCGATCTTATTCTAATTGGTTGTCGCCGATAGCTTACACAGTTTCGAGGAATTCAGTAAAAACATCTCAAAAATGGACGTGTGAGTCGAAAGTAAGCAGGTTCTCATTTCTACTACACAGCCTAATTGCTACTTATTACTTCAATATGTCTCATAACAGCGTAGTTAACATTACATCCTGTTGTCTGAGAATGCTGTTGCAATCCATATATCGGCCCTTGATATCCGATTCTACCCACACCGTGTATCAGAAACACGGCACCTCGATTGAGTCCTTTACGGACACAAGGGAAAATCATTACAACGGTATTTATAGAGTTATCACCTCAAGCTCACGCTAGAACTTAGTGAGGAGGAAAAGCATCAAGACGTGGACGTTTTATCCAGATTGGTTGACGGTTTGGTCAGTCAGGGCATGCTTTTGCCACTCCGTAGCCTGCACGTGACATAACCGTCCAATCGATGTAATATTCAGTCCTTTAGTACGGCCGGTCTACAGACGCCCCCCCCTTAAGAGCGTTGTGCGTCCGACCGCTGCTTCGTTTTGACTTGTGATAGTTCGGGGAACTACTATCGCTTTTGGTCTGTCCGTGGTGCAGTGACCATGTTGATATAGGATCTAGTGCAGGTGGTTCCGGCTGTGTACCCCACTTCGGGGGTGTGTCAGGGTTATCCGGTGTTCCGTGCAGTGTGCGGCCACGGTATGTTGTATGAATTTGATTCGCTGGACGTGGCCGTGCCTGTGATCCAACTTGCGCCGCTTGCTTGACCGTAGTCTTCGACTCAGCATCCGTTGTGGATAGCTTTCAAGATATCCCCGAATCAGCACCTAACACTCATGTGACTTCTGTTGTGTCTGTTTTGCCGAACCCTCTCTCTTGACTCTCCGGATTTCAATGGAGCGACCTGGCGGACCATGTGACTGTGGATTGAAGGTTGGGAACCGTGGATATAATGCTGCAGACTCAGTTGGATTCATCAAAATAAACTGGAGTGGGACAGCTACTGGTGCGGAACGTGACGAGCTGGATAACTGCTATGTCGTGTTTGCTCCGGTTTGACTGTAACTGCCTACATACTACTAGATAAACGTATTACCGGACAATCGTTGCCTTTTTGTTCGGTTGGCCTACCAACTTTGAATTTTTGGTGCGACGATGCTGTAGACATGCATGGGTTGTGCGTCATTTCTGATGTGATAGTACGCGTTACGAAACTGTCTGCATTGCTTATACTTGCAAGCAGTCCCACTCGAATCTATCTAGACCATACGTATAGTTGTGCTTTTAGGACGCTTCCTTTTGTAGTTGACATATTGTACAAGTTCTGTTGGAACGCTGTCACTAAGAAGTACAGGCAATGAGTTGGGCTTATTGCTGCAATTCGATGTACAGAAATCAGGTAAGTACCTTTTTTGGTGCTGTGGTACTGAATTCCATTCGACTGAATGCAAAATTTCGTTCACCGCAGAGCTAATATATACAGTCCAGTATTAGTCATCGTCCGTGCAACTAACCGCCACTAGACGTACTACTTATCAGTAGCCGAAATTACTACCTTTAATGTTTTCTGTTTACTTTCTTATCAGTGACCGGGTTGTTCTAAGTTTCGGAATTCTACACCGGCTGTAATAGAAGAAGTAGTAGAAGAATGAAACTGGAAATGCGATGGGCATGAACTTCTCTGCCTGGGATGCATTTGGTCCGATGCCTCACCAAATGCATTTTTATACGTACGCTTAGATCATCAACACCGCTTGCTTTTCCTCGACTCGCTTCTTCCATCTACTGAGGGTACTTAATGCACATTCGGAGATTTTGAGCCCAAAAGCGAGTCAGATTGACCCGAACATCACAGCAAATAAACCGGCTCAGATCCCTAAGACCTTAGGCTACGAGACCCTTCCAGTAGTTATGATCGTACAAGTTTCGATATACTGATTAGTCCAGGAAACAAGACTGCGTCACCTCCTGATGGCCGTGGCCTTTGTGACGTTTTGGAGCATTACGTCTCCTCGTCACAAGCCAATCAGGAACGCCGAGTTAGCTTAAGAAAAACTTCCGGGTACGTCATACCTTGGAAAATTGGGATCTGTTCGCGAAACCTGCATTTTGACCAAAGTACACGTAGCCATATTGCCCCTTCCGGCCTGCACGCTGTTTTTTTCACGTACACGTGTACGTATGCGTACAGTGGCTACACAAGCGGTCAACAGACCCGAAGCATGAAAACCCCAACGAACAAGTGTCAGTCGATTGCGCGATCTGAGACGAGATGAGGCTCACTTCTGAATCGCTGCTGCGTTAAAAGGGCAAATCGATGCATCCGTGGATCCCTGGTGAACATCAGCATCAAAGCGGGGACAGTGGTCTTCTAAACTTCCCTGAAAAGTGAGACTTGGTGAAAAAAGTTTGAATTGTCCAGCGTTTTGGAAACAAGCTCGCCAATTTGGTCACTCCGTCTACGAAAAACGAATCTCAGTTCAGTGAAGCAGTGGGGCCGAATTTGAGGTTACGTATCTTCTCAATCCATCAGACGGTAAAGTTCGCGAGATCAGATTGGTAGCTATCTTGGAGGAGACAGTGTTGGATGTTTTGAAAGCGTACATTGCTGCATTCTCGATGTGTCCGTTAGGATTTATCAAACGAATCAGAATCTCTCCCTTGAAATTCTTGTCAGACGAACGGGATTTGTATTTCAGGTGGATCATCGTCTTTTCCAAATAGACTCGTTTGCACATTAGTTTGGTTTAGACGGGAGACTCATTTGAATCCCTCGTTTATGATATTCTTCAACTGAATGTGTTGCACAAATGTAACCACATGTTTTAGTTGATGCGCTATTCCAGATATCGCAGTACAGTTTCTCGAAGCAATGCTACTCTTAAGGTTGCTGAAAACTGCCGGCCCATGACCTTGCGCCAACGTTTTCTACTTGAACCCGTATTGTACAAATTTCGCGACTCATATCCTAATCGATATCCTTGTGGAGCATCAGGCGGACAATCTGATAACATTCTGTGTCGTTTTGAACAAGATGGCGCTCAGACTATTTGTTTCAGAAGGACGGAAATTGTCAACTGAGCAGTCACAAAAATGTATCCAAGTGGGTTTTAATAGCTCAAAATAAACGATGGTAGAACCGACATCCTCAAAAATTCTTATTATCCGGCTTGTCTTGATAAAGGTTTTCCATTTTGCTATATTGCTATATTTTAAGTTCAACACTACTTCTAGGATGAAAAATCCTAAAATGGATAAAATCCCACCAGGATGATAAACTCGACTTCCATTGATAGATTTATTATTTTTGAGCGAATGAACTCAACGAAATTTGAGGAAAGCCATGAAATTGCGGGCATTTGCCGCAATTAGTTTTTCTCCACGTCTCCAGATTAGCACAAAACGCAAGATGTGTAACATGTAACTTAGCAGGTTGATGTAAGGTAGTAGCAGTGCAAGTGCAGTTGGTGCAATCCCCCTTCTTGGATAATAGAGGCGTCGCAAGATTTAGCGGTTTTACTGTATCAATGGCTTCTTACCGTTGGTTTCTATTCCGTGTGGTTTTTCGGTGGACTGAACACCTAGTAATGATTATGCTAGCACCAGGTGCATTCCTTGTCTACTGCTTCCCCAGGACCACAACTTGAAATTGTATGTTGTTTAGCTTGCCGTGAAAGCCAAAAGCCTTCAGTTGAACAGGGACGTAGCAGCCACATAGCTCTTCAGATCCTCGCAAGCATATCCAAATAGTCTCCATGTGCATATCAGTTGTTGACGGATATATATATATATAGAGAGAGAGAGAGAGAGAGAGAGAGAGAGAGAGGCTTTGGGTTATAGGGATCCGCATTTGTCACATACTTCTGTCCAAGTGTGCTTGTATGTTGCTGAAATATTTGGCCAGAGTAATTAGCTATTCCTTTGCTAATGATCGTAGTGAATGTGCGGGGCGCAGATGAGTCGATACACATTGATTGTCAAAAATGCACGGGATGATCAATCACTGGTGTGCATGTAAATGTGGATCGTATGTTCGCACAGTTCTGAAACCGTATATGAAATCTACCGAAGGCCGACCGTGACCTTGCTACGCCGGCATTCCGGTCCCCCGAGGCACACAGCAACGGGTGGAAATTTTGCATCAACTAATCGTTTTAACCCAGGTTCATGCGCATACCCAAGTCGTACAGCATAACTGCACCCTTCCGTTTCGGACCAAGTTCTAACTAAGCACGAAACTAATACGATATGAAGCAGTTGGATGACCAGCACCATCAAGCCTGTAAGCTGTTAGCCTTGCTCCCTTAAACAACGGTACGAGGCGAGGTCAGAAACCACTGCCAGCTCCACTTTTGAAATTTTTTTATCGATCACAAGTGGTTTCCCAGGAGAGATGGAGACCTGAGAAACGAAGGGTTCGGGATGACAGACATCTAAATGAGCTGTTAGCTGTTCACATGAACAGCTAGACTAGCTAATGGTTTTTTGCGTTGGGCGGACTGCCAGCTAGGTAGCTTTCATCCTCGAAAACTTGGGATGACGACATTGTAGCTGATACCATCGTTTCTCGCTATCCGACCGCCAAACGACCTTAGCTGAAAAAGTACGGCCATAAGGCATGATGAGAAGGGATGGATCGACTTAACCACACGATGGACCCGCGATGACAGATTCTAATCAGCACAAATTAAAAGTGCATGTTGTCTGGTGCCACAAAGTTGCCTGTGATATCAACCATACTGTACGCCCAGATTTCGGTTATACAGGAAAGTTCATACCACTTCCACATAGATACCAGTGAATCATGACTGTGTATTGTTTGGCGAATAGCTGAAGATTCCTTATCGCAAGTCAATGGCTACGCAGGTCTAGACAAACGAAAAGGCAACCTTAAAACTGAAAACTCAGGCTCCGATTTGCACAGCTAGGAGATAACGAAGATAAACAACCAAACTTGGATACGCATAGTTAATCGGAGAATCAATAAAAAGATTGTACTGGACAATGCATGTTAATGCATAATATAAGCACTATGTCTTGTTTCCATACGGCCTTGGAGGCAAAAACGCATCTTGGCGGTATGGTGGGAAAGCCCGGAACAATTTGCTTTAGAATGACCGATCGAGGCGCACTTTGAACAGTAATGTAGAAGACAGGCTCTCTAGCGTGACAAACCACTAACGGTCCTTTGGCGAAGAGGGCACCTAAAGTGTCCCGTTCAGTAGAAGTTCAAATCCTCACTCGAACTTGCAACACACTTGTTTTATGTCAGTGGTAAACAGCCTGTGGGTATTTTCGGATAGTTGAGTTAGTCAGTGCAACACAATAGATGGGAGCACTTGAGTTGGTAGACCCCATTCTGGTTGAAAATTACTAAATCGCTGAGCTGTGGTACCATTTCGGTACACAGCTGGCTCGCAACCCAAAAGAAGTACAACGGTTGAGGTGCTACCAAACTGCTGTGGCCTAAACAAGAGCAGTCGAAAAGCCGGAGTTGGGTTCGAACCATAGGCGCCTTCCCGTGGTCAGCAGCTCCAGACCCTAATCGCTGAGCTGTCTCAAGCTCAGACCCAACACATTATGATGGTATGATTACGGAAATATCGCATTGTCTCACGATGAGGTGCGTCATGAATTGAAGGTCATACGAGAATAGCATCCGATAAGTAAAAAAGGTTGCTAATTTACCATATACTCTGATATTTTGTAAGGACTTAAGTTTTCAGTACTAACTGAAACCTGTCTGATAGACCTAGCGAATTCATCCTGTAAGCATTTCGCTGTTTTACTGTACAGCCATTTTTGTACACCAACTCCGCACGAATACGAGTTAAACAATTCCGATGGTGTTCTGCCACGGAGAACGTTTCTGTAATACAGGATGGAAGCACAGTCACCACACGTGATTGGAGTTCAACCTCTATATAGTCTGTTAAATGTTGCTGTTCCTAATTTGTTTTGAATTGCACCTTTAGGATGAGTGAGAACCAGTGACATGTGGAATAATGTGTAGTAATTATCGTCAGGGAGGAGTCAATATGTACATCGGGAGAAGTGAAAGTCAAAGCCCCGGTGGCGGTGGTGTGTTGGAATAACGTGTGGGCTCCGGTGCTACAGTATCGTCAGCATATGGGACAAGGGGTTCCGGTTGTTTCGCATCCCATACTTTCAATGAGGTCTCAATGTTGCTAGCTGCGGCGGAAGTATTTCGGTAGACGGAACTGAGAGCATTCTTCGAACCGACAGCGCTGTATCCATCGGGAACAGCAATACTCTGTTGGGGAAGAACACATGTTGCATAAACATAGGCCGCGTAATCGTCTTTACTGGCTCGAATTTCTGCCAGTTGTGCAGCCACATTAAGTGCCGCTTTCCTGGCAGCTTCCCGTTCAGCAGCAGCGCGATTGACGGCTGCTTGGGCAGCTGCCGCTTGTGCGGCTTGGGCTGCAACCATTTCAGCTTGGATTAGGGTGTTTGCGGGGATATATCGGTGTTCCGATTGTGACCAATAATAATAGGTTTGGTTAGTACCGTCGTAAAAGTATCCTCGTGCAGCATCATAGTAGAGTGCCGTTTCTGGGTCGTAATACAGACCTGTAGATGCCTCATACTGCAACCGAGCGGACTCTGGTGGCGTTGCGAAGCGACGATTTTGACGAATTCTATCCATTACCATGCTTTCGGTGGTGTTGTTCGCCTGTGCAAAACAAGTTAGTGCAGCTTGATAGATTGCCCCAGACGGTGTCAGATCTGCTGAATAGTTGCTTTGATGGAGGAGGCACACCTTCGTCTCACCAGCACTCACGGCTAACTTATCACGTCTGGCTCGCATTTCCAAATCTTCTACATCGCCTGAAGTGTCTCCCACGTCATCTTTGTCAGCATCCTCAGAGTCCCGGCCCCGTTTCCGAGAGGCCAGTCGTAACTGTGACGCGGCCTTGATCACCCGGGATTGAACGACTGTGGCATCCCATATGACTGGTCGAGCAATCACAGCCTCTCCGCCTATTTGACGCCACCCCAACCAATCGAAATCAGTCGGCAACAGACTCACTGGCCGGTTGTGCATCGCGCGTTGACAACCAAGAAAGTCGAGGTTTTCTGCTGCCCACGCCTGGAAGAGAGATTAAATGAACTCCAAGTCCCACAGAGATATCAGCCGTAGAAATTAGATAATGAATCAACATGTTGACTACTTCCTTCAAGTATCATTTACTCAAGATACCGTGTAAGCGCGACATAAATGCAACAAAACATTGCACAAAAGATGACTTATTGAATTTGGTAGTCCGGTATCTCTATATCATATCAGTGACTAGTCGCCTTGTGATCTTCATGTATGCGTGCTCAACACCGATGTTTCGCACCACATGAGCTCCTAAATTCTTGCGAGATTTCCGAATTCTGCGAGAATGTAACTTGTGGATAGTATGGGAACAGTTGTGCATAATCAACAGAGCGCAAAATCAGTTTCACAAAAGTTATGGCGTATCAAGTTTGCGTAGCTCACTTCCATACCACAGTGGATATCCCAGATATTTTTAGTCCACGGAAACCAGTGTACACGGCCCACCTATTGACGTTGCGTACATTAACTTGTCATCTCGCATACATTCAAGGCCACTCATAAGGAAAAACCGGAGTGGTCTTTTTGGGAACAGTCCTTATTGGAAAGGGGCCATGTTTATTGGACGTATGAACGAATGTACCTATCATAGCTTCCGATAAGAATATGGTAAAAGACGGGAGCTGGAGTAACACTTTTAAACCCACCATATACAGAACATTCCCCGAATAAAAGATCTCACATGTTACGTCTCTGATCCACAAAGCATTATGGATCGCACCATCGCAGTGTAAGCTCTGCGATTGACAGATAAACTCACCTCACGTCGACGCAATAGGTGTCAGAGGGTGGCAAACATTGTCCGAGCCTTTCCGACTCGAGAAATAATCTCATCTCTAGCCAGTCCACTGGAACTTATACCCAGGTAAACAAACTTATCTACCACGTTGACTGGCTAACCTGCAAGCATACGGTGTGGGTTTGATCCCACCTAGTCTTGTAGCAGCACTTTGCAGGTGTGAAGCGCCCACTAAACTGTGCGGCAGTTATTTAGGTTATTTAAAATGGTCAGCAGTTTTGAAGGATCTGAATCAAGGAGAGCAATATCATCTGCATACTCAATGTCCGTGAGCGAACGCCTCAGGAGGATTTCGACTCCCGAGTTTTCAGAGGCAGGCAGAAAAATTTCAAGCACCACATCAGTGACAAGTTTGAAGAGGGAAGGTAGGAGAAGACAGTCTTGTCTTACATCGCTGGACGCGGTGAACTCAGGCGAAAGCTTGCCGTATACTTGTACGCGCCCACAGGAGTTCGCATGTAACCGGAAGTATGTGGGTCCGGGATACCACTAGGCGTTCCAAAGACGAAGGGGGGGTAAAGCAAAGCAAAGCTATGGTGCTAAAAGCCGGTGTTCTACTGTTGACTCTGAGGGTGACCAAACTATATGACCAAAAAAGTAACACAGCTTCTTTCTAGTTAGTCGCATGATATGTAGCTAATTCATAACTCTTATTTGAACAGCACTGATGCTAAACTTTCACTACTGCTTAAGTATGATTGCAGCAAAATCGGGAAAGCGGAGACATACGTTATGCAGGCCCGAGCGAAATCCGAATCGTGAACACAGCTTATTCGTTTTATCCCACAAGACAGGCCATTTAGTGGCTCGCGAGAGCTGTTTTGACCATGTGCGAACTTCTTCCACCGGTCCCCAAGTTACCACAACGAAGCCCATATTGAACAGAGACAAATCCGCCTGTCAAAAAGGGAATCAAAAATGAGCCAGTAAAAATGGTTTTCGAGTTTGCACCTATCCAGGTCACTTCAAATGTTTGGCAAGCTGACATGGGCTTTTAAAACCGGATATTAAAAGTTTGGAACTGATGTAGCGCCAAGAAGCGATGAATACACCACTCTTGCAGTAAATTATGACAAGAAATCTGAGCATATATTCGTTTCTACTACGAAAGATCCATTCGAGCAGATGACCATATTGGTCTAGCAGGAAGAGTTCATACTTGTTCCTCAGTAAGGGCAGTTGTCTGTTGTTGGCTTCATGCGGATTTTCAAAGCCTTTTTTGAACAAGCCGTAAAAAAACAAAAGTATGTATGAAAATCGGTCTGCTTGGAGCAATTTCACGGGGGCCTAAGGGTGTTGGTTCTATCGAATTCAAACGATAATAAGATTATATTTATGGATTCCAAAAAAGCAGATATGTTGGAAACAGGTCTGCTAGTAGGTGCGAGCCACAGCGCTTAGCGCAAGCCAAGTGGTTTTGGTGAGGATGCCATAATGGTTGAAAAATCTGTAAACACGTGAATCACTCACTTTCACTTTCATAATCTCAGAATGACGCCAACGCACACATGTATCAGGCCAATATGATGGCTGGAATGTGACAAACACGCAAGTATACTGTCCCACATAATCGCCTAAAGTGACTTCCTTGTTGGTCTGTAAATCTGTCAATGGGTATTCAGAAGTAATGAAATATCGCAAATCTGAAGAGGATTTGGCCTCCGAATTGGATGGCAATTCTCCGTTGAGCTCCCGTGAAACTTCGCGGTTTAAATTTTCTAAAAAATCGTTCCAGTTTCCTTCGGTCTCTTCAATAGCATCTTGAGCATCTTGGACTTCCTCGCAATCCGCGAATTTAGTAAACAACCGGTCCAAGCCCTCACGTGATTTGACTTGAAGTTTCTCATACATGTCGGCGTACGACTCGAGTCCACGAAACATAATTGAAATTCCACTTTGTGCAAAAAGTTGAGCATTCGACTGTGCCTTGCGACGGCATCCCTGCAATATATCGTTAAGTTCTCCAGAGCAGTGGCGCACAGCGACGACTAAATTTCGTTCCTCGTCGGTAAGTTCCCGCTCCTGTTTCGACCGTTTCATTCACCAGGGGCGAAATACTGTAAGCAATAGGACGTAGGACTAAATCAAACCACATCAAAAGGGGTCACACGTAACGTGTGACACTGAGTGGAACATCGGCAAACAAGAGGATTGCATGCATCACCTCAAAACGACTTTCCACAGCATTTTAGGGAAATCAAAGCAGTGGTAGTAACTCTACTGAACTTTAGTTCAAGATTAGCTGGGAATTCTTCAACCGAAGTGAAGCAGGTGGATGAACAACTCGGATGATATCACAGAGCTGCATGAAGAGATGGAGTTCGAACTAAAAAATATTGTAAGAAGACACTATCGCGACAAGAAAAGTCGATAGTTTTGAAAGCAAGATTACTGCTAGTAAAAACAATTGTTCCGAAAATATATATCTGAGGTACAATACTCCCTCTCGTCAGGACTTTGAAGAATAAGCTAATTCAGTCAAACTGAGAATAATGTTTGCAATAGGTCCAATGAGAGCCACACATGATATCCAAGCCAATTTAAAGCTACATCTATGGTTTTCTGTCGTGTAATATTGGTGAAAGCGTCCAACTAATGCCATGGATTCTTGTTAGTGCTCGCCACTTCCCCGTTTTTGACTCAATAAGTTTCTTCTCCGAATCCGAAGCTTATTTTCCCATGGATTAGATAACCAATCTATCAATTTTAACACCCAAAATGCCAATAGAACCGAACCTAAGGTCGAAATGCCACATGCGACTGAATTCCAAGGTTTTTGAATAGTGTTCATCAACTAAGTAAACAGTTGTTTGTTTGCACTATGCCTCATCGGTTGCTACAATAGTTTTAATGGAGCCCGCATGGAATACCTAGATGTTTTGGTCAAAATAAATTCCACCACTGTTAGCATATAAGCTTGATGATACTAGCTCATATTGCAACACAATCGGCTGAAAAAAAACCCTCTTCAGAGGTGCAGTATCACCAACTGATGCAGCGCATATGGATGGGGTGGTGTANTTAGTGCTAGTTAACACAATCATTCCGAGGTGCCTACACCTCCAGACATTCACTCAGGCAATCTGGATAAAAACTGACAACAGGAACGCCCATTAAATCGGTTGGCAGCCATATCTTGTAGTGTCTCCAACCAGGCACAGTGAGGATCACGCGGTCCCCATCCTGGAAGGCGAGTAGCACCGACAGCAC